AATAAAATTAAGTTCCATTATCTTTAAACAAATATACAAGTATTATTTCAATAAGACACTTCTAACTTAATCTCTAAGTATTCTTTGATTTGTCTTTCCAAACAACTAGCCAAGTATTCTTTTAGCAACAAGTCTCTCCAAACTCAAAATAATTATTCTTCTACAGACAAGCCTCGCTAGACTCAAAACAAATATTCTTTTTCAGACAAACATTTTTAGACTCAACCTTATAACTGATGGAGGCCCATGGGTCAAGGGCTCAATCACTAGGACCATAGTCAAGAGGATGAACGAAAAATGGGCCACTAATCAAGAAAAACCCATAGTGTTGTTTAGTTGGGTTGTGCATTAAAGCCCATAGAGATTAGGATTGGCCTAGTGGGCTTGTAATTCTTGTTTGTGGGCCTTGTATTTTGGCCAAGTAGCATAGGATTTTGGGCCTTGTAATTTTCGGCCATTTTTAGACTTAGGCATAGTTAAGTACATGTGTCATCTCATTTATATGTAATTTAGTTTGCATTTAGATGATATTGACCCATGTGATCGGTCAAGTGGAGTGGCGCACATGGCATGACTCAAATACCACTCAAATGCAAGCCAAATCACAAGCAAATGAGCCTTGCACATGGTTGGATCCAAATTTGGCGCCTAAAGTTAACTTAAACCATTCCATGGTTTATCTTAACCTTAGGTTAAGGCTAGCTTCTCCTACACACTTCTTAGGCCTATATTCTCTTTGGCCTTGTACTGTCATCACTTTTGGCATTTGAATGAGAATTAATCTTCTTAGAGATTCTAAATTCTCCCACCGAAAGTCACCAAGGAGAGTTCTCTTCTCTTAGTCTCCTTGAGCCTTCCTCTTTATAGCTTTAGGATTAAACTCATTTCTAATTCGAGGAAACTAGTTCAAAGTGGAAGCAACATTTCTTCTTCAAGCACCAGAACTCTTCCTTGAATCCTTCTCAAGGAATTTGCAAGAAGAAGTTGAAGATTGTTCCATGAAGTTTCAAGTAACTGAAACTTCATCAATAACAATGGTTATGAAAATTATACAAGTATTGTGTTCATCTCACTTAGACATTATACAACCAATATTGAGGAATAAGTGTTTACAACAAAGATTAGATTTATAGAGAGTATGTTTCTATATGAAGATATATCTTCTACGTAAAAGCATATCTCTTATGTAAAAATGTGTATTTATTTCTTTCTTGAGTTTTGAATCTTCTTGTATAGTAACATAGAGAAGATGACCGTTGCAACACTTTGAGTCTAACTCACAAGTTTGCTTCGTCTGTCTTCATCGTCTTTCCTTGTGATGATAGGCAATCCTTCGACTCATTTAATGCGAACATTAATTGTATTTCACCAAATGGTATCTCTTATCTGATCAAAAAGGTTACGTATCATCTTTTCATGCCAAATGAAGCTTGCATAGGTAATGTCAACTAGGTGTACCAACAATAGTGACTTTGTATGCTTTTCTCTATGATTTTAGAAATCTTTATCCTTGAACCTAACAAAAAATATGATCTTTGTTTTCTTTAACAGATTTGTGAGTTCCAAGATAATCTTCTAGTTTAATTTGTTAAGGAATGAAATATTCATTAAACTTTTGTCGTTAGTTTTAATAAATAATAAGCATTTAATGTATATTAGACAGACTATATGCTTCGTCTAATTTACAACGTCTTATAGACAATCTATGTCTTACACTTCTTTTGATATAAGTGTTTTCAAAAATATTTTTTGAAGGCGTTTTTAAGATATTTTCTCTTATAAACGTTTTGTTTGTTAGCATTAAAACTCTATATTCAAGAGATGTAAGATCTTCTTTTGACTTAATATTAACATTTGTGGCTATGAAGATATATTATAATAAGAAAGACATTATAGAATGACATATAAGCATTTTGTCGGACATGATAACATTTTAAATATATTAATTCTAAATTGATGTGTCGATGTAATTCAAAGTAACCCAATTTTTATATTATAAATAGAGTTATCGCAACGATAAAGTAATGACTGTGGAGGAGCTATAAATTTGCTTGGCAGACATAAGAAAGGAATAACATGAAAAAGTTAATTCAAATATTTAGGATTTGTGGTTATAAAAATATGTTAAAATAAGAAAGACATTATAAAATCACACATATGGATTGTTACTTACATGACAGAATTTTAGATATATTCTAAATTAAGGCGTCGACGTAATACATATTAACTCACTTTTTATATAATAAATAGATATATTTGGTACTAGGATATATGTTGGTTTGAAAAACCAGATAAAATTCACAACTCAAATTCGATCTAAATCAAATAAATCTAACTTTAATTAGTTTGGATCATGGATTTACATTTTGCAAATTTGATGATCTAAGAATCAATTCAAAAAAAATTATTATTTTTTTACCATTTTATTTTATTATTATAAATATCATCTTAATGCTACCTTTATCTTAATTATAAGCAACATAGAACAAATTATTGAAATTAAGAAAATTTCCCTTATTTTAAATAGTGGTCATATTTATTGTTAATTATAAGTGAATACAAAAAAAAAATAAAGTTAATAATAATAAATAAATGATATAAAATAAATTTAACCTTAAATAAGTTTAAAAATTAATGATTATTACTCATAATTTAGATCGATGAAAAAGCTAATTCTTTATTTTATAATTAGGACAAATCGTATTATTATTTTACAATGCTATGATTTTATTAATAACACAACATTGTATCAAATAGGATCATGAACATCCCTATTTGGTACAATTAAGAGTTTGGCGTGTGTGAATAGGTAGGTGAAAAAATGAATGAAAGATCTATCATGGGGACTTTTATCAATGTAATACTTGTTTTGCATTTCAAATTATTTTAAATTTAATTTATAATTAATATCAATGATTTGGTAGCTCAATTTAAAAATGTTGATTTTAAATTTATTTTTTAATATAGTTTAATTTAGTTTATAATTAATAATAATTTAATTTATAATTAATAATAGTTTAATTTATAATTAATAATAGTTTAATTTAATTAATATTATAGTTTAGTTCAAACTCCTAGAACTATAGTGCACTAATCTATATAATAGTTTAGTTTAGTTTAGTCAATATTTATTTTAGTTCAATTTAGTTTAGTGAACTATTTATTATAGTTTAGTTTAGTTTTCTTTTAGTTTAGTTTAGTTTAGCAATTTGAACACCCCTAATTT